GTGCAGAATGGGTATTTACTCGTGACTACGTTACATTCGTCTACTCGTTTGTAATAACCAATTTACCGCACTAATATCATATATAACTATTATGTTACAATGAGTATACTTTTAGTTTCCTTTCCAATAGTGCTGCAGGAGATATGTGGGCATATCGTAACGCCTCCGAAGCCTATCTCAGTGTGATCTCACTTGATATCTTAGTTAGAGGAAACGCTATAGAGCTGTTTTTCTTTGTATAAATAATATGGATTAAGTTCTGTAATACTTTGTCAACGTTTGAACTCGATCCGTTTGGCTCATAGAACGGATAAAGTCTCTGTAATACTCGTTACTCAAAAGGAGTTAGTAAGCTATAATTTTCCAACCTAAAAGTTTTCTTATTAAATATTTGACTACTGAAGATTAACAATTAACATTAGATTGCACTTACGATATCATAGAGTTCCTATCACTCGCGCGTTATCTTCCCTTACCCAAAACCCTATCCCGAGGAAGAGCAAAAATCCTATCCTTTTTCAGTAAAACCAGATCATCGCAATTGTTTAATTATCCGCGTTTTCGCAAAATTCCTAGGTATTTCGCGAAAATTCGAATTATCAAATTATCCTACAACAATTGTTGTAATTTAATTTTCTGTATATTGTAATACTGTAAAATATGTAAATAATAATGATTCCTACAACATAGGATTATATAAAGATTAATGTGTATGGGTAGATTATTGTGTGTACGTACATAAATAAGTAACTCTTCCAAGTACGACTTAGTAAAATGTAATACAGACTATTTACCAACCAAGTTATGTACCCATCGTAATATGCTAGACTAGAGAGCGACCTGTCCAGGCACGTATCGCCCTGTTACATTGCAGATGCAGTATTGAACTGAATTCTAGGAATTTCATAAACCTGTGCGCGCGTCACGCTTCCCTAGGATTTCCCGGGAGCCAGCTAGCGAGCTATTTATATAAACACATCCCAGACCCTTCAATTAGGTAGTCTTGTCTTTTACAAAATTTATAAATATTTATTAACTTATATTCAAACTAGTGGGTGCCCGCGACTTTTCAACGTCTGCATGGACAAATTGGTTTTCCATACAAAATTCCACCCCCTAAAAAGATTATTTCTGATATAAAAACTATCCTATGTCCTTTCATGAGACACACACTATCTCGAAATCGGTATAGTGGTTTAAGCGTCAGGAGGTAACAGACAGACCGACAGACAGTCACACTTTCGCATTTATAATATTAAAAATGGATAACTCTGTGTTTTACACTTTTCTATTTTAACATATTTAGTTAGAAACCAAACAGCGTTACAAACAATTTTCGTTCTTAACATAGATTCTAACAGTAGGGCCAATAAAAAGGTCTCTTAGTATTAATTATAAATAGGTAGCAATCGAAATGACATCACCTATGATATGACCATTATTTACTTAGTGAGATGTCTGTGCCAGAATGTAACATAAAAATGTATAATAAATACGCAAATCTATACATACGTGTCTATGTGCATAGTATCGCATACCGCAATTACTTACCACTTGTGCCATGAGCTCCTCTCGAATATTCACAAAAGTACTTAATATTTGATTAAGCATACTTACAACACTTATTTACATTCCAAAATTACCATGTTCCGTGACGGTTTTGAGCAATAAATTGTACTATTGTATGTTATGGTGAGTATTAAATACGTTAAAATATTTTATTAATTAAAATAATAATAATTTTCTTGATTATTTTTCAGTTTTTGTGAGAACCTAGGTGCATGTTTTAACTTGATGACTCTATAAGCAACGGAAGAAAGCCTTCGCTTAATTTCTTGGCGTTATTTGTGTTACATTTCGTAGATGGTAAGCATTTTCAAAGGTTAATGTTAGATAAAATAGTGTAGACTAAACAAACGCTACTTACTTAGTATGATAACAAAATTTCGCTTTACCTATGAAAAAGAGAATTATTTTAATAAGTTTTCTATGAAAATATTTTCTTTTTACATTTAGAAAACAATATATATCTAAATTTAATGTCAATATTCGAGATGAAGATTAGGTAAGTCACACAATTGATTTATTTTTGTACGATGCATAAAACAACCTATCCTCGAAACATTTTAATAAGTTTAGTTTGAGATATGAAAACATAATTGAAATTACTCTTACAAAGTTTTACTTGAATTAAAATTAGAATTATTGTTACTTATCACTTGAGCGATGTATCTTCTCTTAGCTTGAAAGTGAAGGCACTTTCGCTGGTATTCTCAAGAAAGCTAATTCTTCCTTTTTTGCTATCAGCGTACACCACTTTCTATAAATAATAGCCAACAAACCACCATCCTTTTATTAACTAAATTAAAACATTAAAACGTAGTTACTGTATCTATCCGTCTCTCTGTAATGGTGTCACAATCGCTAGTTCAATTGTACCGCCATAAAAATAAAAGTTGGTGGTAGAAAGGTGTAAATTTAGGATTGTTTAAATAAAATTAAATAAAAAAAATGCCCAAAAATAAATAATTCTTATAGAGAAAAAAGGGATCTATTACAAAGTATTTTATAACAAAATTAAACTGGAAAGAGATGAAATAAGGTTCAAACGCATCAAAAGTCTGCTGAGGGAACCAATCTTTCTACGCTTTTTCAGGAATTTGTCACAACAACAAAAACGAATTACGACATTTGAAAATTTATACCACTGAATTAGGATGTAGAGGCTTAAAAATAATCTCATTTTTATAATTTACCAAATTCAAAGAAATTTCGTGTGAGACACAGTCACAGGCGAAGAAGGTATCATCACAAAAATCAAGAGTTATTTCCTCGGTCAAAGATTTTCATCACTGAAAATGGAGTAAGACAATTGGTTTTTTTATTTTAAAAAGTGCAATGAGCTCCATTTCACTAACAATTTGCTAAAATTGAGAATAACACAGAACCTCCTCCTTTTTTGAAGTCGGTTAAAAAGTGAGAATATTGCAAGATAGTTAGTTACATTAAATTTATTATAAACCATGCTTTTTTCAGGTTATTTTTAGAGCGCTCGTATATTAGAAGAAACTGACTGAAGAAATCGATCAAAGTAAAGCCAAAAGCATCTGCTGTGGTGAAATAGTGTAATTTTGCACAGGGAGTTTCTTGGGTGAGCACTGAGAAGCGATTTTTGGAAGTTCATCCCCTTAAAGTCCACTTGCACGAAAGTTCCTTACTCAATTTAAAGTTTAAGCGTGTTTAGCGCATCATTCCATCTTTTTCAATTGTTTTAAGTCAAAAAAAGATAGATTGCGGCTTAAACCTAATACGCTTGTAAACTTGAATTAAGAACTTTCGTGCTTGTAGGCCTAAGGGGATAAAGGGGATATGGGATAAAAGTTTTTAAAACGCTTCGTAACTTATGACGATAAAAATTTGAAAATGAATATTGAATAATGAGCTCATGGTTATAAACAGATCCTTAGTTTGAACTGCTAAAATATTGGACGAAAGTTTCATGGAATTGTCTCATTTCCAGAAGTATTTAGAACTCTATTAACCTTTAACCAGAAGTAAAGTTCTAGTAGATTTAATTCTTCAGCGCCCGAATCTAATATAATAAGAATAATAAATGTACCCTTGTGTAATATAATCTATTAATTAATTGATTCAAACATCTTGAACACCTATTGCAATACATTTCAAAGATACTATGTAGATACCTTTGCATTTTCGTACACATTTGCCCTCATTATGTCAGAATAGCGATTGCAATGATTCAATACCTTTCATATCGCTATTATATTTACTGATACTTCAAATGTCAAGTTAAAAGATGATGGGTGTTGAAGTTAGACAATTAATAGCCCTCTGCATATCACGTCGCACTCATACTGAAGCGATACACAATGAACAGGCGTAAAACACAAAAAATAATTAATAAACTTAATCTTATAAATATTTGATTTTAAAATCGGTAGATACATTACTTACTTACGTAAATAAATATTATGAAAGAATAAGTCATGTCATGGCGATATTTGGTTTCCTACAAATTTGAAGCAACTGGAAAGCTAATCTGGACCCAAGAAAGATAAGTAGTGACACCAACTAAATGGCTATGGAAGCCACCAATGTAAGTACGATTCTACTTAGTGTGGCTCAACTACCTGTTTCGGTCGAATTTTCAACGATTAGTTACAATACCTAAGTCTTAAACATTGGCCTAGATTGGCACTAGTACCTAAAAAGTATTTTGTAGAATTTACAGTGAATTATATTTAAAGCATGCGCATAAATTGTAAAAAGTCTAAAGTCAAATGAATTTGCCACGTTTTTATTTCGAAGTAGATAAATATTATTGTCTCGCGTGACGTTATCATTGCTGTATTATTATAATTGTAAAAATATTGTAATGGCTTAAAGAGTTCGAGTATTTCATCCTCCACTAGGATAGTTGCTCTACCTACTGTACGTATTGATTTATGACAAGCATTAAAAGAGTGATAACATTAGTTATCGCCCGATACATTCGTATCAATGTTTGACTTTTGTTTCATATAGAAAACTTCAAACAAACTCTTCAATACTTATGTTTTCCATAATATGGAAATGACTGACAAGTTTTTCTTCTTAGGTGGGATTTATGTGTGTAGTGTACGCACTAGGACGATTTTTTAATTTTTTTTTGGCATAACTTTATAAACACGAAGGAAACTACTAAAATAAACGAAAACATCAAAAACTTTTAGTTGTAATAATATATAAGAACTGGAAATTATGTTTATCATATTATTTTCAAGGATCTATAAGCAAAATTTAATGTAGGTCTCTTGCATATTTACAATGTTGAAGTTTACATTAAGTAATTAATAGTTTTCACTACATCAGATTTTTTAAATTCACACAAACACTACACTATCATTATAGTAGACAATGATTTTGGCAAAGAATTTGCCTTTCACTCAGCTTCGAAACTGACACGTAGTCTTTTATGATTTTAAATTAAATGTACTTACCTTGGGGTGGTGTAGTTGGGGCAAGCCAAATTATAGTGCACAATTTTTTTCACAGTGTTATCATAGTTGGAAATTTATTCGGATTCGGATCTGGGGCGAAAGTGACAGTTTCCGTGTGTAGGTAGGTTCGCGGTTGAATTTATAACAAGTAAAAGTGTTGAATGTTATCGGCGGCAGCGCGTCGCGCATGCACTCGCGACGAGGACTCGGCACGTAGTGGAGGCTGCCTGGCGCGAGAGTACTACTCGTACCCACCACGTAGCACTGAGCTTTAATTTCATAAGCCCTCACAACAAGATTTGATAAATCAACCCTCACAAACATACAATGCTTACTTTACTTACAGGTGCATTAAATATATCTAGTGCCTTTTATATTTTTTAAATCTATTGCCATTGTGGCCTTTTATGCCCAACTTATTGATTTTTAATACGAAATCCTTGCAATTTCATTGACGTACGTTGTAACTACGTCATAGTTGACCTTTTTATAAATATGTAACGAGAGCCGGAGATGTAACAGGCAGGTAAAGAAGAAGGTAAGCAGGTAAGGTTTTAAGATTTTTTAGTAAAAACTTTCGCTATCTTTTTTAACACAAACCTTATATAACTTATAAAAAGATCAAAAAGTTATGACATACAGTAGACCAGGGTCGATAATTTTTGAGACCAAAAAAAATTATAGTAGGATGAAACCCATTAGAAAAGGTAGAGAATATAACAAAAAAGAAAGAAAAAATAAATTACGGGCGATCTGAGGTCGGGAAGGGGGAGGGGGTGAGTTTTTAAGGGTAAAAATGGTTAATCTCGATTTCCGGTAAAACTGCAAGTCCTATGAAAAAAAGTTAAATGGCAAAGTTGTAGGTAATAAAAAGATCTACAACTTTTGTATCGACACTTTTTTCACATAACCTCAAAATTTATGTGAAAAATGCGAATAACCGAGTTTTTGGTTTTTGATTTTTATTTTTTTCAAAAAAAAATATTTTTTCACGAAATTTGGTGAAAACTTACCTTTGTATATCCCAAACATACAGTAATATTTTTGAATTAAAATATTCATTTTTTCACCTTATTTTGACTTAATATCGAAAAAGCACCCTTATTTTCAATCGAAAATTCTCACGTCAAAATATCTGCTTTTTTAAAAAAAATTGGGGTGTTTTTTGTTTGTCGAAATCTTTACTTTCTGATGGTATAAAAAAAATATACACTACTATGGTAAATGTTCTCAGAAACTGCAAATTAATAATGAAAAAAACTCCAATCCGAAAAATTTATTTGAATCATTATGTATAATTTTGAACTATTTATTAAAATTTACACTTTAATTACTCGAAAAACGTAAGATTTCATGTTATACTGATAAACAGAAAAATTACAAATACATAAAACATGCAATAATAGTTCTTGTAAGTAGGTATTAAAAATAGGATTTTCGGATTCGAGTTTTTTTCATTATTAATTTGCATTTTTTTATACCATCAGAAAGGAGAGATTTCAACAAACAAAAAACACCCCAACTTTTTTAAAAAAGCAGATATTTTGACGTGAGTATTTTCGATTGAAAATTAAGGTGCTTTTTAGATATTAAGTCAAAATAAGGTGAAAAAATGAATATTTTAAATCAAAAAAAAATACTGTATATTTGGGACATACAAAGGTAAGTTTTCACCAAATTTCGTGAAAAAAAATTTTTTTTTGCAAAAAATAAAAATCAAAAACCAAAAAATTCGTTATTCGCATTTTTCACATAAATTTTGAGGTTATGTGAAAAAGTGTCGATACAAAAGTTGTAGATCTTTTTATTACCTACAACTTTGCCATTTAACTTTTTTTCATAGGACTTGCAGTTTTACCGGAAATCGAGATTAACCATTTTTTACCCTTAAAAACTCACCCCCTCCCCCTTCCCGACCTCAGATCGCCCGTAATTTATTTTTCCTTTCATTTTTGTTATATTCTCTACCTTTTCTAATGGGTTTCATCCCACTAAATTTTTTTTTCACTTTTCACCATTTTTAAAATTATCGACCCTGGTCTACAGTAGAACTTTGATAAATTAAACCCCAATAACGTAAAAACCTCTAAAACTTCATAAAATTTTATGTTCCCTTCCCCTCGGAGTCCAAAACCTCTTTTACTTAAAATACGAACCCTACTATAACTTAAAGGAATAATTTTGGCATCAAACCTCAGTAACTCAAATTTTTAACAACAATGACCTTTGTAACTACAATCATCTATCAATGAGTCATTTTAAATGAATATGCAAAGAAAAAAGGTTCCCTGTAGACCATTGTTATTGTTTACACGTGTTTACCAAATGGCTTCAAATGTAAATAATACACTAAGGTCTCAGTACAGTAACTTATTTATATCATTAGCTTTTAGCCTTCGTTCGAACATAGCTCGTCGATCTCTATAATTCCTAAACATAGCTCATATACGAACCTCTGTAAGTAAAAATATAAAGAAATAAAAACTCCATAACTCAAACCCTTGGTAAGTAAAAACCTCAATAACTCAAATTATTGAACGTTTCCCTTGGTCTTTATCTTATCGAGGTTCTACTGTATTAATATTTTAAACAAAATCAAGAAAATAAATTAAAGAAAAACAACTGCAATAGGAACTCAATTCTTTTAACAGAATCAGAACAAAAAAGTTTTTATACGGTTTCTTGTTACCCAAGTTTTTTATTGTAGACGAAACACAAAGTCTTGTTATTTTGCAACAGTTTTCACAACTTTTCCAGAGAAGTTATATATATTAATATGTGCTTATTATGACACTCAATATGTCTGTTATATGTTTTATATTCCAAATATATGTTAGACTGGAAGGTATTAGTATATCTATGGGCCTCCGATGCCTGAATTCAAATAAATAAAAAAAACATGCTTTATATTGAATGTAGAGAAAGGAGAGCGTAATGTCTAAGTTTTAGGTTTAGAGAATCGTGTCAGAATCAGCTCCATTGTATGAAGAAGTCTGTTTGAGTAACATTAACAATTACTGTTATTTAGTTCTTTTAGGCATTAACTTCTACATTTAAATAATTTAACTAGTAAATTTTCGAGACGTGATGTAGAGGTATCAGCCGGGATTCGAACCTGACCCCTCCGCTATGCGAGAGGATTTGTAAGTGCGGTAACGTTAACAGTATTTTGGCGAAACAATTTCAGCTAACCTGTTGGGCGAGGTTGCTTCGCATCGAGTCCCCGAGCAACATACGCAGGGTTGCTAACTTTTTAATACAAGAAATAAAGTATCCCTTCTCAGAAGGGAAATAAACAGTATTTTAGAAAAAATACCAGTACTTTATTATTAATATTTTAAAGACTGCCTAATTGTTATTGCTCCTCGCGTAGCATTGGTGCTGAAAACAGTATTTTATATACCTTATTATTTAAATCTAAAGAAAAGTTTACTAGAAAAAAAAAATCCACGCGGACCAGGCAGCGGACGGGACTCGAACCCGCATCCTTCGCAATCCGGGCGAATGCACTGACCATTATGCTACCACGGCCCTATTAGCCGCGTTGAAATTTTTTCTAGTAAACTTTTCTTTAGATTTAAACATCTAGCAGTTAAATGCTTAAAAATAAATAAAATCATACCTCATATTGTTCAACAGTATAAAGTAAAATGTATTGAAAATAAATGTAATAAAGATGATGATGGGGTAGAATAAACGAAATTCTATTTAGCCCGTCAGTTAGATTATCAAAAAAGTAATGGACACTTATTTTTTCTTTTGTCAATCAACCAAAAAATAAGAGAGATAAAGAGTGTCATAATTTGGTAGACGTCATGTCCTGCGATATTTCAAATCAATAAATCTCTGTCATGATTATGTAAAAAAAATCAAAGTATGTGTCCAATACTTTTTAATAATCTACCTGACGAACGAAGAAAATATTTTGTCATTGTCCCTATTCTGTTTTTAACTATACACCGTGAATTTTAAAGATCCTCGAGAAACTTAAAAATCGTGTAAATATAAACACCAGTTATAAATAGTAGACGTACTACACACCCCCCTACAAAAATATTGATTTATGTCGATTACAAAATATCTTAAAACGGGGCATATTTGTATATAACATGCCTAGTATGGAATTATTATCCGTTTAAAGTACTCAGATCCTAAAAGTTTTATTTCAATCAATATATAACAATTAAAATATCCATTGCAGAAATAGTAAGTTAACGTGGAGAGTTATGAAAAAAAAATTAGTGCGTGTACTTATGTAGGCGCGTGAGAAGTTATCCTTCTTTGGCATCGTTTAAAATTAGTTTTTAATTACATGCAAATAATTAATTACAATAAATTAAAAAAAAGTCTGGAAAAGGACACAGTCAATAAAGTTCAGTTTTAATTTGAAAAAATAAATAAATAATCAAAATATTCAATTAAAATCGCTACTGAATATAATTTATTAGAACATATGTGATTTGCACTTGTATGAAACTCAAACACGTATTCCGAATATACAAACTAGAAACATGTGGATAAATATTATAAATATGAATACCTATAACTGTTACTTTATTACAAAAAATAAAGATGTGGTTTTTGGTTCTACTACACCAATGGTCAAGAGATGGCGCTGTAGTCTCCTGAATCGCGCTTTGGTTCCGTTGTTCCAGATTAATAAATACTTTTGATAGGCCTTCACAATGCAGTCATTAGCACCCACTAAATAGAGATTCTATTTCTATTTTGTTGGTAGATTTTCTTAATGTGCGGTAAACACATAAGTAACGCATCGCTTTAGCGACCAACTTCATGCTGTTAAAATTTTGTGTTACAGTGATGCGCGCGCATCTTAAAATTTCACTCTCATCATTTTTTCATAACGCGCCTAAAGAAGTATAACTTCAAAAACATTAAGAAATATTTTTTTTGCGGAAATTTAACCTAAATCGTTGTTTAAATTACCTAGGAAAGTTTCTCAGGTAACTCAAACTTCACGGAGTATAGATGGGAACCTTACATACGCCCCTGCAACAAGTCCAGCCGCCGCCGCCGCCACCCCCGCCCCCGCGCCGTGACACTGGGCGGATATTATGCTGGGCAGACGCGCTACGGGTGTTATTTCGCCCACGTATGTATCAACTATGACAAATGATTCTTACCAAAAGAGAGGAGACAATATAGGTACCTAGACTTAGTATTCATATTTCGTAGACAGTTTTATAGCCTACTTAGGTATATAATATAATAATA